TTAAATATTTTGTAAACATTTTCAACTTAGTTGGCTTAGACTTTGTTATTTAAAATTTCAAATTCTAGTTTGAATATTTTTAATTTTTTCAATCGATTTTGGTTCAAATGTATGAAAAAGTAAAATCAACTGAGTTGGCTTGGATTTTTTTTACTATTTAAATTTTAAATTTCAATTTGAATAATATTTCTGTTTTTAATTAAGTGTGCCTTGCTTCTTACCCAAATTCAAATTATAATTCAAATATTTTTGATTAAGTTAGCCTTGACTTTGCTTCTAATTTAAATTGCAATTCATATATGTTTGTTTTTATTTCAATCAAATTACCTTTGATTTTTGGGAATTCATAAAATGCTTTGGTATACTTTTGAAATTTGAAAATTAAAATTGAAATGTTTTAATATTTGCAAATTTTAATCTAGTTAGCTTTTTGTTTTTTTGTTGAAAATAATACAGAAAACTTGTATGTAGGTAAATTGTTATTTTTGAAATTTGAAAATTATATTTTTTTTAGGAAATTATTTTTTCATCAAGTAGGCTATGGGTTTGGAAATTTTGATTGTTAGATAGTTTTAGGTTTGTGGGAATTTATTCAATATAGTTTTGATTGTTAAATTGTTCGGTTGTAAAGTCTAAATATAAATTGTGTGTAGTGTAAAAAGATTGTGCATTGAAAAATAAAATAAGAAAAAGGATATTCTGAGTGAATTGAAAATGAAAGGACGAAATAGAAAGGATAATTAAAAATATCTGAAAATAATGGAAAGGATAATTTTGAAGGATATAAGTGAATGTTTATGCGCACAGTGTATATGGCCAGTTACTGTTCACTGGCCATTCTATGTTTTTAATTCTTTGGCGCTTTTTACCCTCTTTCTCTCTTTCTTTAAAATTGTAATACTCACTTACTCTTGTAAACCCCTAGCGTACGGTACGTACACGGAAAGAAGAAATATGGTTGGGGCTACCATAAACTGAAACTATCATTACTGTTTGGAATTATAATTAGGACAACCATATAAAATACTTCCCTTTGGAGATCATAATATGATTCTTGTAGGTTGTCATAAGTTAACATATTATTGTTCCTATAACAATTATAATATGATTCCTACAATACCATAATTTGTTCTTTAATTTACCATTATATTATCCCCATTAATAACATCAAATATTTAAGGGAATCATTTTATTACCAACAAAAAATTATTTTAATTAAAATAACAATAAATCAAAATTACAATTTTCCATCAGCCAGTATAAACTGAAGAATATCCTAGAAAAATCAATATGATTTTAATTACGTAATTTATATGTACATTATTACTTACATATATTGATGGAAGATCTGCTAACATTTGTAATGTCGATATACCTATTCCTAGTTAAGTGGTACTTCTGCTAAAAACTGATTAAAGGTGATCAAACGGTGTAGAGTCTGGTATACGATTCTTTTGTTCTGCGGACACGAAAAATACATCCAAATTAGAATTACTCGTTGACGATGGATATTAAAAAAAATAATTTTGTGACATTTCACAAAAAAGATATGTTTACAACAATTAAAAAGAAAAATTATAAAATATGTAAAAATAGAAAATTTCTTATACTTTATGAATTAAATAATCACTTTTTATATTTTACACTCACATAGTTTTATAATAAAATGTATTTTTTTTAATTCAATTAGTTTTTTATTTTTATTTCAATTACTTGTTTCTTACACTTCTTTAATCTTCAAGTTCTTATTATCAAATGACGCTCTGTGGCGTTTTAGAGAGAAAAATGGCATATTCAACAATGATGTTGTACCTTCAAAAATTAAATGATTCGTATAAATATTGAAAGTTTAATATTGAAAATACATAGAAACAGTAAGCAATACATGTTTGAACTTCAACTTTTTTTGTTTTAACAATGACGTCACAGTAAAAATGTCAATTAAACTCAAATATACATCTAATTTTTTTTTTTCTTCAAATAAGAAAAGGTGCCCTTTTAAGTATATTTAACTAAACAAATGAAAGGAATAGGAAACGCAATTGTTATTCTAAATTCACATTTATACTTACCTTTAATAACATATATTTTGTTTTTATTTAATTTTTATTTTTAATATTAAATTAATTTGAGAACACACACACTGTTTACTCTTTAAAAGAGTAAATTTTAATTAAAATATGTTTACAAATTTGACAAATAAATTAATTTTTATAGGAATAATTTCAAATGTTTGGTAGCAAAAAAAAAATAAATTTCATAATTGAGGATCATGTAATTTTATAATATATGTTAAATGGTTATATAAATTAAGGTTTTATTGTAATAGTCATATGAGACATTTAGGAAAATATTGTGATTGCAATGAAAATGTACAACCATGTTTTTTCTTTGCGTGTACAAAAACTAAAACCCCGTGTTAAAATCCCCAAATAAAACCCCTTTTTTTTAGTTAAAGAAAAACTAATTTTTATTTTTCTTACCCCGATATTTTCGAGAAATATTTCAAGGAAACAGTGAAAATAAAATATTAAATTATTAAAGCATAGTTTGAATATAAAGTGAAATTAAGAAAAAAGATAGTAAAGTTTTTTGAAAGAAGAATATTTTGAGAAAGTGGAACTATGGAAAAGGATATTTTCTAAAATAACAATGACTATAACTATGCTTCTAACATTTTAAAGAATTTTTTTTTTGTGTTGAAATAAAATACAAAATTTATATGCAAGTTTTAACGCATTGTCTAAAGATTAAAATAAGGTGAATAATATTTAAATATTTTTCGTTAAACACACAAAACAACAATGAACAACTGAACAGTGATAAAAATTTTAAATAAATAGGAATTATGTTCCTGATAAATATTTCATATTTGTGGAAAAAGGACATGTTTTAGTGAAATATAAAAAAAAGCAATAGAATAAATTGCTATTAAGAATATTTTAATAAGCCAAGATTAATAACAAGAACCAACAAGGGAAAAACCGAATAAGATGTGCATTACTTCTTGAAATTTTTGGATCTGAAAATATTTAATATAAAATTTATAATGAACCTGTGCCTAATTCGTTAATATTGGATGAAGTTGTGGTTGCAATGAGAACAATTAATAATATTTTAAACGTTTATAATTAAAGTTTTCGTTAAATTTTGTTGAATTTTATTAATTTTTGGTATTTCTGTTAATTATTTTGTTTGAAAAATTAAAATTCTAATTTAATTGTTTTTTAATTATTTGAAAATGTTTAATTTGTAAATTAATTTATAAAAGGAAGAGAAAATATTTATTATTCTATAAACTAAGGCAATTGTCTTCGAGATTCTGATATGTACATATCGTCGTTGGAGTCAATATATGTAAGTTTTTTTGTGAATTGTTTTAATTTTCATTCAATTTTGTTTTATTTTTTTTTAAATAACTTTTAAATTTCTTAGTTGTTATAAGATAAATATGGAAACAACTTTGAATTAAATAAATGAATTCTTGGTAAGTTTTAAATATTTGAAAAAGAAAATATGGTGCACTAAATCTTTTATTTGAGTTGTGGAGATGAAGTAGGATAGATGGATTAAAATTGCGGCAAAGTAAGTCTAATTAGGGATTATATTTTAAATAATTAAAATATAATCGTGGTGGTATATTTACCAAAAGGGAGGGCAATCACTATGGGTGTTAATACCAAAACCCAGACGAATATTCAGGTGTTTCAGACAATAGTAACTCATTGATCAGAACCCAAAGAACGTAGAGCAATGACGTTACAGATTATATACTCCATATTTAGAACAAAATAAAGTCTATTTGAATCAGAACAGTAACTTACATATTACATTAAAAAAATGTAACACGTGTTCTTTTATAAAAATAATAAATTCATGGAAATAATTAATATTTTTGTTATTTCTTGAAATAACTTTTTACACATTGTAAATTTTCAATTGGAAAATTTTATTTAGCCTTCTACTGTTTTTTGAATTTTTTAAGAAAACTAATTCATAAAGAATACAGATAGGATTATGTCCAACTTGAATGGAAATAATGATGTTTACATTCATATTAAAAATATTTTTATCTTCAGAGAAAAATATTTTTAAATGTTAAATGACTATTTCTTGGAAATTGTGCAATATTTAGTTATAGAAGCTTCAGAGTACCTTATGGCACTGATAAAGGTACTTTACATATTAATGTAAAATATGAAAAAAATTTAATATGCATATTGCGAAAATACACGTCATTTTCTAAGTTGAATGGCCTCATACTACCTTCAAAAGCAAATATTTTACAATTTGATATTCTAATTTATTTATTTAAATAAACTCATTTTAATATTATCTTATTTAATAGTTAATTACCAAACATGTATGTTTGTATGTAAATATACTAATTTATTGTATAGGATTATCATATTGTACAGAAGTTTGTAAATTTTAGCGAATTTTAAAATTATTATTTATTATATAAAACGATCCTCGACAATTTTTTAGAAATAGGACCTTTACCAAAATTAACGGTTGTTTGCAATTTTGAATAATAATAAAGTTTTTTTCCTGTAATATACCCTTATACTATATAGAATATTTCTTTCTACAATAGTTTTAAAATAACAGTAATAAATTTTTGTATTTAAAATTATTAAAATACTTTATTAAGATACAATATAAAATTAACGGTTGTTTGCAATTTTGAATAATAATAAAGTTTTTTTCCTGTAATATAACCTTATACTATATAGAATATTTCTTTCTACAATAGTTTTAAAATAACAGTAATAAATTTTTGTATTTAAAATTATTAAAATACTTTATTAAGATACAATATAAATTCATTTCACATTATTAAAATTATTTGTTTTTCATAATTAAATACACCATTTACTTTCACCATCAAAATGTTTTCTACTTCAAATTATGTCAATCGATTACGCTTATCTGATAATATGAATTTTAAAGCCGAAAAAAGTCGTTCTACACTATCTTGCGTAGATGGAACTCCCAATATTATTTCGGCTAAAGTTGTTAATGGACTTTTTTAGTACACCAATAACCCAGAATATTGCCATTCAGGGGAACCTTTGATCTCTTCAGAGGTATCTCGGTCCAGTTTTTTTAAAAACTCTGTCAAAGATTTCGCTTTGGTACTTGTTGATGGCGATTCTTCATCTATCACACATTGGTTAACGACTTCAGACGTAATTTCTATAAAAAAATATAGAAAAAGTAAACAGTAATTAATATATTTTCACCAAATTAATTATGTTTGATTATGCATTTATCCATAGATATTATTTTATTTTTGATTACTTACCTTTAATTGAATTTATTCTTTTATATAAACTGGTTATATATTTCTTTGCATTTTCTTTGTACTCTGAATCCAAGCAAATTTTAATTCGGGGATCCAAATATATAGCTGCATTAAATAGGTCGATGTCGAACAGTTTACTTTTTCTCTTATTTATAGAATTTATAAGTAATTCCGGCATTTGACCCGATGTAAATTTTCAAGTTCGAATAATATATCCATTATAATAATGTATAATTTTCTGAAACATAACGGCACAGTTTGTAATTTAATTGTAGGATTATAAATGGGTTGAAACAATTGTGTAAATTCTTTCGCAAAATTCCATTCATCAGGACTCAGATGTATACTCAAATTTTCAATGCTTAGAGGATCTATAACATCTTTTATTTCCAATAGCCTTTTAATCATACCAAATGTTGAATTCCATCTCGTTATGCAGTCTATTATTGGTTTTTTGTTGTTCATATTTTTTAAAATATTGGCATACGTTGGACTTCTCAATCTTTTTATTACAGATCTCAAGGTTTCCAGTTTTGTTTCAATGTCAGGTATTTTTAACACATCTTGCACACAAAGTTTTAGTGTATGTGCTCCGCAGCGAATACAAGTTATATTGAAAGATGAAATCTACGTTTGAATTAATTCCATTGTATCTTCATAACAGTGTTCTTCATTAACATGATCAAACTCACTTTCCTCCTGGGAATATTGTAGTTCTGCATTTAAATCTTTCACTGTTTTAATCATATTCGCTCCATTATCGGTTGTTATTGTTAAAATCTGATTTATATCAATGTCATACTCCTTTAGGACATCGAGTATCACACATTTTAAATATTCACTAGTGTGACTTGCCTTCAGTTCTTTTACAGCCAAGGTTTTTATTTGAATGGCTTTATTATTAATGTATTAATAATAAAGCACATTAATATAAAAAACACTTATATCCTGTTTGGTTGCTGCATCGATTTTTAATGATAACAATTTTCCTTTTAAATCCTGGATAATTTCAGTTTTTAGCTTTTGTGAGAAAGCTATTATCCTTTCACCAACATTATGCTCATTGAGAGATACGTTCAAAGCGTTCAAAGCGTCCAAAACAGTGCCCCGTTTCTGTAACTTTTAGTGAGAAGTTCTTACATCGAGAAGTGTGAAACAAAAAATTCCATCGTTTTTCGATTTGTGAGTAAAAAGTGTTTCTGTAACTTAAAGTGAGAAGAGGCTACACGAATTACATCTTTATTGGAAATTTCCAATAAAACAGCTGTCAATAAAATAAAAATTAAAAGGAGATAACAAAAATTGTCGAACAAATTTATAAACGAGGAGTAAATAAACAAAAAATATAGAAATTAAATAAAAATAGTTCGAAAAATTATCCCACTAAATTCGCCCTTGACAAATTCTAAGTTTACGCCCACGTACTTTTTTAGCATTGGCTTCTGTATATCCGAAATTCCTCCTATTTTTCTAAAAATTAGTGAACAATATTTATTTTAATCTTAATTAATTATAAATACTTTTATTACTTTTTCATATTTTTTACTTTCCGCTCCGTTTTAAAATGTGAGTTTTTTTGACAGTTCATGTGAGAAACTTCTCACAAAATTTTCTTACAGAAACCAGGGCTGCCAGATAAATTTGTAGAAATATCGGCAATTTTTTCCCAAAAAATCGGCATTTATCGGCACTTACGTTTTAAAAATCGGCAATAAATCGACAATTGAAAGAAACACTATTTTGTACCAAAGAAACATAACACAAATAAATTCAAAAATCACAATATTGTTTTTACATACATGCATAACTCAGGGAATTTTTATTCAGAATAGGTCTAATAAAAGAACTCTTTGTAAGGGTACACCGAAACTTTGGTTTACTGGAATAAAATCTATTAGAATTTGTATCACTTTTGCAGAAAAATGTAAATGAATAATTTTTTGTGGATTACTATACATTTACCCTGTAAAAAATTTTCAAATTTTGGTTATGAGTGATGTAGTTATTTCATACATCATACATACATGATGTAGTTATTTCATACATCACTTGACAGTGAGTGATCGTTATCAACAATATTAATTAATTTTTACAATAGGATTTGTAACCAATTGTCTAGAGCGTGTGTCTAATATGGAATTAGTTAATGGTTCTAATCCTAGTCAATATTAGAAGTTTTTTGAAAAAATATTGTTTTTTAAATTTTTGTTAAAAACATTCCAAATTGCACGATCAAATAGAATAGACTAATAAACACAGAAAATTACTGCAAAGCCGATTTTAAAAATCCAGGAAAGTGGGGTTATCACATTTGTTATTGGTTATCGTCGAACAAAAATCGGATAGGTAAAGATTTTGCTGAGTACATTTTTATAATGGGAAATTTTCTTCAGATTTTTTAACTTTTCCACAAAAATGTGTAAATTTATTTTCGAACCATAAAAAATTTCTTTAAAATTTTACCACCCTTAGATCAGACTTTTAGAACCTATTCAGGATTTTCATACATAAATTGTGTTTCCTTTTCATAATCGATCCAATTGACATTGGTGATGGAGCAAATTATGTTCTACCGTACTGTAAATTTTCCTTTCCCAATTGTTTTAAAAGCTCCATGTAATTTTTGCTTATGTAAAGTTATAATAAATTCGTTAATTTGTTCGATTGGGTAAAAAATCGGCATTTTTGAAGCTAAAATCGGGAAATCGGCACTTTACTATTTTGAAGGTAAAATATCGGCAAAATGCCGATAAATCGGCAAATCTGGCAGGCCTGACAGAAACACTTGCATGTGAGAAATTATATTTTGTTTCAATTCACATTGTTTTTTCTTCAATTTCACTGTTTCATGCTAGAAACTTCTCGATGCGAGAGTTACAGAAACGAGGCACAGGTTGCACCAATATTTTTAAAGCTCGACCCTCTGCCATATGCAGTGGGCGTCCATTTTTTGTAAACAGTTCGACAATTGCTAACTCAACGTTTGCTCGATTTAAATCATTCACAACAATTTTTGTTTTTAAATTTGATAGTTTATTTTATCACACTTTTTTTCACATAATCTGAATACAAATCGATTCAATGGCATGTATATTTTTTAAAAATTGTTTTTGATACCTGTGATAATAAAAATCACATTTCCCTCATATTATTTTATATCTTTATTATAATCTTTTCTACATCGAATATAAAAATGCATTTATGAAATATTACAAAAACTTACATCCAAACAGATTTAGAAGAGGTCCAAAATGCTTAAAAAATCAATTAAATTTTCTAACTTATATTTCATTGTCATTTGTCCATTCAAAAATAAAAGAAGTGCACTAAAAGTACGCTTAAAATACCTTAAACTTAGCGCACACGGAAAGTGTACTGTACCTTATTTTTAATGTTTATGCACATCACGAACAAATATAATGTACTGTATTCTGTTAGTGTACATGCCCAGTAAACAATTTTTTCAGACATGTCTGATGTCAGAACATTTCTGAAATAATTCTTATACTTTATCAGAATTTTTAACGAATTTCTAAATTTCTTTTAGACATTTTACAGAATAATCGGCAAACTGTTTGTTAGACTTTTCTGCACATTTTCTGAAGTATTAAACGATTAACATCAGACTTGTCTGCACATTGTCGAAAGGGAATTTCAGTGTTACGACAATTATGAGACTAATCTGCACATTGTCGGAGGACAATTTGTTATTTTATTCCTATATTATTAAGACATAAAGGAGAATAGTCTGTACATTTTCTGAAGTAAAAAATAAAATGACTTAAGAATTATATCCGACAAATCTGCACATAATCTGAAGACAATTGTTTTTGTAACTTCGTCAGACAATTAAGCGAATAATATAAATTTTCTTTAGATATTTAACAGAATAGTCTGCACATTTTCTGATATTTTTTGCTCGGTCATTTTGTTCCCATTTTCAGTACTTTTGTAAGAAAACTTTGCGACAACTCTGCACATTATCTAAAGGAAATTTTGTTTTTTAATAAAAATCATGCATAACCTGTCTATATTTTGAAAATCGTCAACTGTACTTTAAAAGGGAATTTAATTTTGTATTTCTATTATTTTATCAGTTGATCTTTGGAAATCAAGTAAACAACATCTGCATATGTGATGATTATTATTCAAATTTCTTTAAACTTTGTTAATACACCAACATTAGCAAAAAATTACATAATTTTTTATGGTTTCATTTTATAATTTTAAATAGATATATATAATGAACTCTATTTTCGTATATAATATGTAAGTAGTATGTTTTAATTTTATTAATTTTAAAAATAATCTATACGTTTCTATTATTTATTTATGCACCCTTAAGAAGTTATGAATAATGGAAGCTTATAAATTATTATTAAAATTAATAAAGTTAAACCATAATAAATTATATATATGAAAATAGTTTTCATCAGACGTTGATCAGAATAGTCAGGCCAGTTTCTTATACTTGATCAGACTTTTGTACGAACTGTATGTATGAAAATGACCCCAACAAAGGATCAGTTTATTTAAATTGTATTAAAATTATGGAATTAAAATAAAATTCGGCAAAAATTATTTTTTCGAATCAGTCCTTGGAATGATTTGACATGGGGTCTAACCAGAGAACCACATAATCTGGTACTACGGGTTGAGGTTCCTCCGGAATCCACGTAGTGGCTGTGGTTTAAACCCAAATTCGCGGGAAGAGTAAGTTGCAGTTAAAAGTCTGATGCACGGTGAAATCTATATTTCGGGATAAGTTCGGTGCTGTTGCCGATTGACAACAGATACCCCATAGAGGAGTGACTAGGCGTTGGGAATGAGCTGGTGTTAATTGTATATGATACAGGATGAATGTAGGGGTATACGAAACTACGTATACCTAGATTGAGACTGTCGTATGTTGTTGTCTTATGAGTGTGTCGGATAAATGAGAAGTGTGCAGGGTAGAATTGTGATGGATGGAAGTTATCTTATACATGTGATATTGAATTTTCCTTCCTTGTCCAGGTATGTTCAGAGTAAACTCTGTTCATACCAGAATTACCAGTGTGTCACTGTAAGTCTCGGCTTATTTGATGGATTCGTACTTTGGACTAACGGGCACGTCTCTAGATGATGTTGCCAACTCAACAGAGGCCATCCCATCTGCGTTGTTGTAAATGGAAAAAA